ACATCGTGTGTGAGTGCGAGAATTCGAGTAAAGGTTAAACGGTGTGTACAGTGGTGTTATGTCCGTGCGTGTGTGTATGTGTGTGATAGAGCAGTGTTTCTCAACCTCTAACAAATTGTCGCCCCCTTCAACATAGTACCGTCCCCCTTCAGTAAAACCGTTACATAGTATCACCCTCTTCACTACAAAATACCGATGCCGAGGGCCAAGACTAACGCCAAATTCGTACTGCATTGAATAGACTAGTGACTAGTATAATGTTATTTGTTTAATTATTGTACGATATAACGAATAAAATATCTAATTATTCTTAATATAATGTTTTACTATATCGCCCAGAAAATAGTTTTTCGCCCCCAAAATATAAATTGTTACTAATCGCCCCCTCAACATGGAAAAACACTCACATGGGGCGATATCACCCCCGTTGAGAAACACTGCTCTAGAGCCATATTGGTTACATAATTCATTTAGTATTTAGCCTTAAACTAGCCCGATAGAATTTCGGCATTTGGATGGTGTTTAGCTGTATTATGTATTGGGTCTAGCGATGTTTGTGTATATATATATATAAAATAATACANTTATTAACATATTCAATTTCAACAATCTTTTATTAATGAAATTTATTATATAGAATATTTATATGTTCAGATAATTTAGAACTGAAAAATGTACTTGATACAATTTCAAATAAAGGCAGTTTGATATGTTATGCTTTATTTAATATATACAGGGTGAACCAAAAATAAGTGGACAGTAGGTGGAATAGGGTTTGTATTAGGGTTATACTATTACAATGATGTATGTTATGGTTGAAAAATTACATCAGAGATGCATTTCAAGAAATTAATACACAAAGATACTTGTGCAAAAATGTTTGTCAAAGCATGAAATGGTGAAATGTAGACTTCAAAGCTGTTTAAATTCTGTTGGACAGCAGTTTGAGCACCTGCTTTGATAAAATTGTATTGTATTGTATTAGTAAATATAGTTATATGTAATCTCAAAATTTATATGTATGTCAATAAATGTTATCATTTACTGTCCACCTACTGTTCACCCTGTATTTATGAATTGTGTTTCTATTTGGATCTGTGAGGTAGATATCACAATCAAAATTACATTTAATTTTCCAGAAAATCTGAGAAATGAATTGTTTTTGTTGGTTACTATTAATCCACTCAGTTTGGAAAAAATTATAAAATCATCAAGAAGTCAATTACAGTATTTAGTTTTGTGAAAGCATTTAAATTTTGTAATTGCAATATTGTACATGTTTTGTATATGTTGTACAATTACGAAATATACAATACTGTATACAATTATTAGAAAATTATTATCTTTTAATATCTAAATATATATATTTTAAATATTAGAGCTCTTCAGAGAATAAATGTGAATTAAATTAATTAATATATTCAGTAACTTGCTGATAATTTTTATTTTAATAAGTAGAAAATTATTTATTTTTAGATTGTCTCAGACAGACCTGGCTTTCATACAGAAGATCACATTTATCCTGTTGGATTTTGCAGTTCAAGATTATATGGAAGTATTAAAAATCCTTCTCAGCATTGTTTATATACATGTACTATCATGGATGGTAATACAGGACCAAGAGTAAGTATCTTTCTTATTTTATAATCAAATATAAAAGTTCAATGTAAAAATCCACAAATTGCTGATATTATTATATTCAAAAATTCTAATGTATTTAATTAGGGTAATTTATTTGATTATTAAGACATTATTAAATAAATTAAATTTTTTATTGCATCAATATCAAACTAATCTTAATCATTTAAAATTTAAAAACATTCATTTATAAAAATTAAGTTATGAATACATTGTATTCAAAATAAAAATATAAGTTTTAAAATTATTTGTATTTTTTAATATCTTGTAATTTTTTTTAATGTCTAGTTTGAAATTGTTGCCGAAGATAATTCTGAAAAGCCATTTTTGGGAAACACACCTAATGAATGTCATTCTATATTATTAAGAACAATAAATGAATATTAGTAATATTTTATTTTTATTTTTCTTTGAATCTAAAAATCTTTTCCATTATTTACAGTAATATTTAATTGTGTTTATAAATTAGTGGAAAAGAAATACTGCCACAAGAAGGACAAGGAGCTGACTTTTTTGGTTTAACTCATCCAACAATTCAGAACCTTGTGCAAAGTTGTGCTGGTGCTAGAAAATGTTCATTATATCGCTGGGTTAAATTTGAAGTTTGTAAAAACATTAAAGTAGAAGAAGGAAATGCTACTGATAATGACCCATCAATTAATTTTGAAGCCCTTCAAAATCTTCTCTTTGCAGTTTCGACAGGTAATTTTGTTTTTAATGATAAATAAATAGTACTTATTTTAAAATTTATTAAATATTTTATATGTTCAGATAAGTTTATACATTTCTAAATTTTTTATTGAAATATTTTACTTTTAATATTCTATGTATTAAAGAATTAAATTCAAAATTAATACGAGCAATCCAGGCTACAATTTTTAATTATATTTTTAATTTATTTAATTTAAAATATATGCGCTCCACCTCAAATTAGTACTGTAGTGTCTTGCCCCTGTACTGTACATCATACTTTTCCATTAACAATAGAATTGTACCAGTCATCTATCTAACTCCTTTCAGGAGAAAATTTTTTAAATTGAAACAATGTGATTTCTGGTTTTCATCAGAAGTTTGTATATAGTTAATTGGGGCCTTCTGCCCCTTGACTTTCATGTACAGGTGGATGGACGACAGTGGGAATTTATAGGTCTACAATTTTTTCAAATTGCAGCCCAATAATTCAATATTTTAATATTAATATTTTCAACTTGTTCAACTTTGAAATAATTTCAAATAAAATTTAATAAGTTAATTTATAAAGATAATTAATTTTATTTAAATTAATGAGTTGGTTTGTTAAAAATGATAAAATTTTATGAATTAATATGAAGTTTCCCATTAATAAGTGCATTAAAATAATTAAAACTGTGATTATTGAATTAAATCAGTCAAATGAAACTCATCCAAGTGGAAAATAAGAATCAAGTGTAGGTTTTAATAGTCTCCAAAATGATTTAGACAGGTGTCACACTGTACAACTAACTGATGAATTTTGGTATTATACAAGAAGGCTGGTTGTGCCTCAAACCATTGCAGTATGCTTTACTTCAGCTTATCTGTTGAGAACTTTCTCTCTTTAAAAGCCTTCTTGAACATACCAAAGACATGAAAATCAGCCTGTGACAGATCACCATCATATGAAGGGTTACACATTGTTTCTCAGAAAAAGTGCTTCAACTTGGCCACTGCATGTTCACACATGCAGATGCAACATTATCATGAAATCATGAAGGAGGATCACACTTTTAGTTAACAATCCTGGGCATTTATTTTTTAATGCAGAATGGAGGTTTATCAGGATTTTGGTATCTTAATCAGCATTGATTGTCTCTCCCTTTAATAGAAAGTTGATCAGAATCACTACAGTGATCAAAAAAGCTTGAGTGCATAACTTTTCCAGTTGGCTGGGTTTTATTTGACTACACCAAATATATACACATACACACAAATTAATTTTAATTTCTAATTTTACTTATTTTACTTACAAAATAAGTGAAAGCTTATATGTTACACACTGTATTCATGCATGCATGTAAGATATATGCAATGTTTTTCAAAAGAAACATGACTAAGGAGATTGTACGGAGAAGCTTATAGGCAATGCATCAAGGTGCAAGTGTACAATGTATTGGTTGTATGATGTATCATTTCGGGTAAAAAATACTGTAAAATGGAAATTAAATGTACAAATTTCATATACATGGTCAAATCACTTTTGACTAATGATGCACAGCTGCACAGTTCTTAACTACCCAGTATATTGTGAGGATTGAACTTGTTCCTTTTTTTAAAACTCAATATACAGATGATAGCAAGAACACAACATATTACTGGAATTTTTTTATTGTTACTTTTAGTTTTATTTGAATAAAATTAAACAATTAAAAAAAACTGGTAAGTTTTGTGTATTATATAAAAATGTACTCACCAATGACACCAAATTTAGAATAAGAATAAACTGCATTGTCTTTTGGGTTAAAGTTGTTTACATGCAAAGTTTTTTTAACTGCAAGTAAGTACTTTTTAAAAAATTGTACTTTGAATATTATGAATGCTCTGCCTAAAGACATTTTGAAATATCAAAAAGTACTTACTTGTAGTAAAAACTTTTCAAGTAAATGACTTTAACACCAAAAGGCAGTGTAGTTTACAGTGGCATGCCATCATTGGAAGCAGTGGATGCACTGCTTCCCTTGTATTTTCTAAAAAATAAATACATATTAATTTTAATTATATAAAAATAATCGCACAATATTTTATTATAACCGCATTATGTATCTTATTACAAATTTCTATACTACTCGTGGAAAAAAGATAAGATTGCTATTGTATATTCGAATATTAGTGGCTGAGTGGAAGCACTGTATCATCAGCATCCAAAAAGCCAGATTTGTGTATGCATTTTACAGAGCACCAACCTCGCCCGGTTTAGCTGGTGGAAGCTTAGGTCCTTGGGTGAATGCTACACATATACTGCATTTAATTCTATCCAGGACCAGTTCTGGGCTGTTAGCCACCTGCCGGCTAGATATTTGGCCGCCCTCACCCAATTACGTCAATCACGAGTAGATTTATAACTTAACCCAACCGATAAGAATTTACTGGTATGTTTTTACGATAGTTCTGTATAGTTGACAGGAGTTATCAAATATTTTAATGGATTTTTTTTATTTTTATTCCGCTCTCCAATTTTATATTACTCACGGATTTCAATGTTAAACCAGTGATATTAAGATTTCGTATATCCCATCTTTAAGGGGATGTAGAAAAAAACGTGTACAATTCTTGTATCATGTTAAAAAATTAACTGTTACTTTGACAGCATCATTTACAACTAAATTTAATGAATGAGAGAGATGCACGAGGTACAGAAAAAGCTCTAGAATTTATTTTCCTTAAATTTACGATTTATGTATCCNGGCTACTTTAATATTATTTTTACGTGTTTTAGCTGGCAACACTCATTCGACCATGAAAGGGAGCCAGTATTTAAACGAGGCTTAATTTTCTAATTTTTAACGATACAATAGCGACGATTATTATTTTAAAAAATTTTTGTTAGGCTTAACATCGATGAAAATTCAACGCAAAATAGGTTAATAGCGATATACTAATATACTAATTACATGGGATATAATAATATACTACACTAATAATGGATTTTTTCATACTTTTCGATTATCCGACTTTTCAATTATCCGACCAACCCAGTCCCCAATTAGGGCGGATAATCGAGGTTCTACTGTAGTTAAATAATTAAGAGATTAGGGAATTAGGAACAAAATAAAACTCTGCTGAAAGAGTTGGAATATTACTTAAAAGCTTAACTGACCCAATCTCTAGCCGAGTACAGTGGAGACTGATTTCTTCGTAATATTAGATGTAATAAAGACAGAAATTTTTCCAGTTCAATGAGAGCGACCAAAAAGTTATAAATTTTGGAAATTTCTGAGGACACTTGGTCCTAAAACGAATTAGTTAGAAAACAAATGACTATTAAGTTTAACATATTTAGATTTTTACAGCTGTGGTGAGAAATGTTTAAAATCTACAACTACCCTGTCGCATCCTTTGAGATATACTAGTGATGCGACAAAAGAGGTATTTGACATTGATCGGTATCGGCACCCTGGGTATTTGGCAGTCTGCATGTATGCACACTCTGCAACTGTCTTCGATTCCATCCATTAGCCACTCGTAGGGAGCTATTTGACTAAGTGCATTGTTTTAATATTTAAAAAGTAAAGAATATTTTATATTTTTATGTACGTTTCTTTACAAAGCTATATTTAATTATAATTTTCTTTAAAAGTATATTCATACAATTGAAGAATATTTTGTACCAGGTATGTACCGGTACATCCACCACACATTTTATTTCATCAAGTAAGTTTTTATTATTTTATTTTTAATTGTACTCCTTATATCGTGGCTAGCAATTCGGAATGTAATTGTGATATTTAAAATGCATTTAGAGAAGTCTATGGTTTTTACTGGCTTATCGAATAAATGATACGAATGAACCCTAGACCATCATTGACGCGCAATTGACTGATTGCCCCTGGATGTCGG